TTCAATAACCTATTAAACTTCTGTTATGTTTCATGTAGGAGAAAAACACTTTTTTTCAGCCAGTATTTAATACAGTTGGCAAAATAAATTGTTAAAATATGTAGTGTGCTTCTGTTTTTTTAATTCAGGAGATTATTTAAAAAATCCTTCATTTTATGGGAAGACCCTCTTGATTCAAGAGAAAACTCAGTTTTTTTAAAAATGGCTGCTTATTAATGAATTGTTAATCAATCTATAAAATAAATCAACTACAGATTAATTCATTATCAATAACTTGCATCCTTAAGGAGTTAACTTAACTTATATCTACTTATATTCATGTAATTAAGCATTTTAATGATTTGGCCGATTAATCGAAAAAAAAAAACAACAGATTAATTGATTATTAAAATAATCGTCAGTTGCAGCCCTACACCAGATAAAAAGGAGATAAGGCAGAAGAGCAGGAAGGCGTTTGATATGTAAGACCCTACCATCAGGCGAGATGCTGATGTGCTATAAATCTAATCATCACATTTGGTTTTTATTTCCACCAACATAACACGGTAGAGAACAGGAAACAGCACCACATGGGAGAAAAAATTAAGCACAGATTCAACAGAAGTGCTTCAAATCCTGTAATGAATCATTTCCAATCATACTGGCAGGAGCATAAATCAAATCTAAAAAGAATACAACATAACTGAGGTCGTTCAAAGTGTCATCTATGGCAGGTAAGATATTAACTGCTCATAACATGATCTGCTCTGCTTCAAAATATGAAAATTTTTGTTTTCAAAAAAAAAAATCTAAACTCAGTGCCACAATAAGACTTAACTTCACATCTAACCATTYACCACAGATGGAGCGCCGTTCTGTGTGCAAGTTCTAAAACCACAGAACCATGGGATACTCAGCCGACAGATGACATGCAAACTAGGTTTTGTTTACTTTCAGTCTGACCTAGTTGTCTACACTGCCAGCCCCGAGGCACACAACATCCCAAATTTGCTTCCTAAATGTCTCGACGTCTTACTGCCCCACCTCAAACCATGGTCACCCTGACGAAGAGACAAACAGGAAAAGGAAAGCATTTGTGAGTGCGGAACGAGTCGAATCAGATTCTGAGGATCGACACAAAAACAGCACTCAAACATRAAGCAAAAATTATATTTGTTTTCACAGCGGGAGCTCTTTTGTATTTCTTGCATAACTCTTAAGCTACACACAAGCGCATTAGCGTTAAAACTGACTGAGATCAGCTTGAGCAGTGTTGTGCTGCAGGTTTTGGATAAAAGGGCAAATTTCCTCTTTCAGGAAGAAGACGGGAAGCACATTCGATTACTGGGGGGATTAAAAAAAAAAGCAGTTACCTATGTAATGAACGACACACGTTTGACCTTTCTTTGGAAATGTTCTCCCTGTTGAGGAAAAATAAGAGAAAACAAGAATTATTGAATGTTTGTACAGTTTTATTAACCATGGTTACATGCTGGGGAGGTGCTCCTAGCATGACTGCAATATCCTTCTCTAGTCTTAAAGCATGCAAAAGTCAGCTTGGTAACATTATTTCTCATATTAAAACTTTAACCTTGATGCATTTATAAGCTATAAATATGTTCTGAGGACTTTCTAACAATTATTAAGCCTTTATATGAAGGTGCAGCTCCTTCTCCTGCTGTTTTCTTACAGTTATTAATTCATTTACTGAAGCTGTTGGACCTTTTGTAATAAGTATGGAGAGTTCTGGGGGAAAAACAGATTTTTGTAATGTAATTGTTCCCCCTCAGATGTTTAGCAACATGAATGGGCTTAACAGTGAGCTCTAAATATGGCTTTTAAATGGTCCTTCCAGAAGCCCACTCATCTCCGAGCCTGATATGTTCAACATGATAAGCTTTACGACATTCCTGGGGAAACTACCGAGCCCCCCCAGCACTACTTCCACCCCACACATCAAAACGACAACCCCCGTTACATTTTACTTACCATCACCGGGGGATATTGTCTCGACTTCCACGCCCATGGTTGTGCTTCTTCAAAGTTTAGCTAAAATAAAGAAAACATAGAGCCTAAAGCTAACTTGTTTTTTTTTTCTTTTAAAAGCAAGTGTTACCCCCTCTACGGCTGCAAATCGGGCTTAAATCAATGGATACCATGCACAACCCGAGCACTACAGAAACCTCAGCCAGCCAAGAATGCCAAGATTATTCTGTCGCGAGACGGCGTCGAGAATAGCTACTCCACTTTACGATGCCGGTGTTGAGGCGAAAAAAAGCACCCCCAACGAAACTGGCACATTCCGCTACAGGAAGTGAATTTTGTGAGCTTTTTTCGTGAGTAAAAGTCAAAGTTAAGAAACTGTTTTTTTTCCCCCCGTAGCACTTCAGACTAAAATACCTGAAATAAATTTATCAAGTCAGGTTGTTAATTCAGTGCTTTATTTGAAGCAGTGCATAAAGATTCTGGCAGCCTATATCGGGGTTTTAAACATAATAATATATAGAAAACACATTATTATTAGTATTAGTATTAGTATTAGTATTAGTATTAGTATTAGTATTAGTATTAGTATTAGTATTAGTATTAGTATTAGTATTACAAGACTCAGTTTATTCGTACTTCCCATGCCTTCCACGACGGGATGACTATTTTCGCCACAACACCAAATGATTTCCGTTTGGCAATTTACCTTTTTTTTTGTGAGCAATTTAAAAAAAATTAAGAATTCAGGTTACTGTCCTTATCTTAAAAAAACATGTGTTAAAATATTTTTTATAAAGCAGCTAAAATAAATAATTATAAACGTTTACACGATGTAACTACATATCCCATGATGCACCACAACAGTCATTTTGCTTCCGAGTCATTTTCAGTGGCAGCATGGAGATGCATGGTTTTAACTATTAAAAATGAGAAGTAAATTAAGAAAAAACAATTCTATTTATGTTTTCGTGGATTTCGGATGAACCGTTGGTGAAATCTTAAGGTATGCTTGAAATAAAAGGATTTGTTGTATTATTTTGTACGCTAAATATGTTTGTCACGTGCAAATTCATGCGTTGTTTTCACTATTATAAACTGCAAGTTTGTATAAATCACATAAGCAGATAAGCTTGTCTTAAATAAAACTGTTTTGTATGTGTTATTCGGACTTTACAAACATATTGAGACAGTCTTAAATGTAAAGTTGTTTAAGAATAAGTTTTGGCTTTTTTAAATATAATTGTCACCTTCATMTAAAGGACGATCATGTTTATTTACTTGTCTGTGTTCGTCCGTCTGTTAGCAAAACACTCCACGAACCATTGGATGCATTTTAGTGCAACTCAGGAAGTAATTGTTGAATATAATGATAAGTCTAACCAATTCAAAGCTATATAATTAATTAACTTTTAAAGCCAAACAAACTTAGGGTGGCACCACAACTAATTGGCATTAGCCATCCCAAAAAGCACAATCCATAGAGCTAGTTTTTGTTGTGATGGTAGCTGAGACTCCTTAGCACACACTCTGAGAGCTAACAGATAATAATAATCTGAAGTTAAAAACTCTAGGATAAAAATTGTATCAGGTGGCATGCATTAATTGAATGCATGCTAGATGTTTTTAAACTTTGAATTGTTTTTGTATTGGTTAGAGTTTAAACCACATGAAGGAACACACTATTGAAGTTGATGACCTAATGTCACCATATCTAAAAAAAAAAAGGACTTGTGAGGTCACGCTCAACAAAGTATTGTTAATACCCCGGGTTCCTGACTGCGTGTTGTTAAGGTCATCCGGCGTAAGCAGCTATAGGTGTTCGTCACGACAGCCTCAGCTCAGGCAGGGGGAGATTAAAGCGTGTACTTGGAAGGAGACACAGGACAGGCTTTTACTATTCCTAATCTACACAGCTAGCAATACCTTGTGMAAACCTGCTTCAGATCAGATACAAGTCTCTTATAAATGCTTCATTTTTGAGGCTTTGTTTGTTTTTCTTTTCTTTTTTTTTTAGTGCTTCTTTGCTGCTGCCAGGATGGATCTTGGGAAGGCAAAGCTGCTTAGGACTGGACTSAACACTCTCCACCAAGCCATTCACCCTGTGCACGGGATTGCATGGACAGACGGCAAGCAGGTCTGCCTAACGTCCCTCCACTTCATCGGTGGCGAGGTGAAGTTCGGAGACACCAACGTGATCGGCCAGTTCGAGCACGTTTTCGGACTCTTCTGGGGCCCGCTGTGCTGCTCCGACTCCCCCGCGCTGCTGGCCGTCCAGCACAAGAAGCACGTCACGGTGTGGCAGCTGCAGCTCAGTGCCCTCGAGCAGAACAAGCTGCTGTGCACGCAGACCTGCGAGATGAGCGAGCCGTTCCCGTTGCTCTCTCAAGGCTGCGTCTGGCATCCCAAACTGGACATTCTGGCCGTGCTGACCAAGAGGGACACATCTGTGTTGTTTTCTGTCAGGCTGGACAACAGGAGGATTAAGGCAGACATCAAAGGTAGTGGGCTCATTCATTGTGCTTGCTGGACCAAGGACGGGACACGCCTGGTGGTGGCGATAGGCAGCGCGCTTCATTCTTACATTTGGAATGACATCCAGAAGAGTTTAGTGGCCTGCTCCTTCTGCCCCATCTTTGACGTGGGGGGCTACATTTGTGCCATTGAAGCCACGGGCGAGGCTCAGGTGGCCGTGGCTACAGAGCTGCCTCTTGATAAACTATGTGGGTTGAACGCTGGGATAGCTTTCGACGTGCCAACAGAGTCCCCACAAGGCCAGGGCTCGCACGTGCTCATGTCAGATGACGATAGTGTTTTGGATTCGAGGAGGAGATCATTCGAATCCGAGAGGTCTTTCCTCCCCACGTCAGGCCCTCTTGATCTCACCCACCTCCTGGCGAGGCACCGCCGCTCGGACCCCAGCCCCCTGATCCACTTGTGTCGTCGTGACACCGTGACGGGATCCGGCCAAGACAGCTCGCACCTCGTTTTGGTTAGCTACGAGCGGAAGGTCACCACCACCCGCAAAGTCAGCATCCCGGGGATTTTGGTCCCTGACATCGTTGCTTTTGATCCCCGCGCCTCCACACTCGCAGTGGCGTCTAATACCTGTAGCATGGTGCTTGTGTACCGCATCACTGCCTCTGCAATGCCCAACGTCCAGCAGATCTCTCTGCAGCAGAACGACAGACCCAAAGGAGTCTGTTTTCTCAATGACAAGGTGCTGCTGGTGATGGTGGGGAGACAGAAGTCCAACGACCCTGCCTTCCTCCCATCATCCAACACTGATAAATATATCCTTCGCCTCATAGCCAAAGAGTTGATATATGACGGAGGGACGCCTATCACACCATCCCCCTCCTCTACCAACCACGAGACTTCTTCTAATTTCTGCGCAGGGATTAGGAGGCACTCAGAGCACCTGTCAAAGGATGACAAAGAGCATCCAGGGATAAAGGACTTGGTACTGCCTGGAAGGGGGGTAGTTTGTTCACCGGGGAACAGGCGTCGGCTGATCAAGGAGGTCAAGAACACGGAACCCGGCCCCATCACCGGCTCTGCAGAGCTCACGGAGCGACCCGCGTCCAGCACGTCCTCCATCACCGTGGAGAACTTCGACATGGACCACATCAACCGAATGGCCAGCCTGGCGGTTTCCGGTCAGGCCAGCAGGGACTCGAGTCGGGCGAGTTCCCCTCGCTTCGAGTCGTCGGAGAAGATCCACACGGAGCCGACGTTGCCTCTGTCTGAGAAGACGTCCGTCCCGGTCAAGGAGCGGGGCGTGGAGCATCTGGTTCACAGCATGGAACGGCTTTTTACACGCTTTGCAGATGTGCAGCAGTGCCTGGCAGAAATCAAGGACTATACGCAGAATGGGAGGAAGGTCCCGAGTGCGTACCCTAACGCAAGTGAACCTCCATATGTCAACGTCACATGCCAGGTACCATTTCTCTCACTTCTGTTTTTTTTCATTTATTGCATTTAAAATCTTAAGTAGCAACAATTTCTGTCACAAGTTTCGAGTTGACAGCACAAGCAGTCTGACAATTCTACAATCTGACAATCTAAAAACCAGTTAATGCAAATACACAAATTAAACCAGTTCAAGATATCAGTTAAATAAAGCAGCAAACAGTCTCTGTTCCTGTTCTGTTCTCTCCTGCAGAGGCAGCTGTCAGAGAACGTGTTCATTGATGAGCGGAGGCCGGTGCTGCTGTGTGACGGGAAGCTGTGTCTGCGTGTCCTCCAGGACCTCTTTAACCTCACCGTTGTGGAGATGATGTATGGTAAGTGCATGCATCAGTTGTTKATTCGAAATCAAACTGGCTTTGAAAACGGTCAAGTATTTTTTAATTGTATTTATTTTATTTTTTTGCATGTAACTGCGTGACAGGGGGTCCAGGGTYAATTAATAGACACCATTTTGAGGAAACTACCTACAGGCCTTTTGATTAGGTCATTTCTCTGCACTCATTTTCAGAACACTTGTACGATAAGCTTCTCTAAACAGAAATGTTCAGATATGTTATGATGCACCCCCTGTTTTTGTCTTTTTACGATATAAATATGTTCCATAAAGAATGCCATATTTATATTGGGTAACTATGGTCGTACGTGTGGGCTGCCCTTGATGTTCCTAAGCTATAATTGGAAGTGATTAGATGCTTAGGTCAGATTACAAGGTTTAAAACAAAAGCTCCTTATCATCCTTATTAGTGTTCTATTTTTTATTTATTTGTTTTTGTTTTTTGTCGTTAATATAGACTATTTTTCCCTAATTTATGATACACCATTTTTTCCCTACCATTCAGAGTAAAGTAGCAGGAATTAAGTATTTCTTTCTTGTTTCAGGACCATTGTGGATTGTACTTGTGGCAGATGCAGAAGGCTTTGTGCCACTGGTGTTTAAGCCCAAAGAAGAACTTGTGGTGCGGAACGGCAAGAGGAAATCTACCTTGCGAGCCCCTGGAAGTCCAGATAATTCCTGTCCATCCAGTCCCACCACAGCTACAGAGGCCTCTATATCCTGATCCAAACCTCTGAGGATGGACTAACAGAGGGGTTTATCCCCCAAAACAGTCAAAACTGGAACAAAGCAGTTGGAAAAATGCAGTGAACGTGAATCCTTAAATTTGCTTTTTGTATAGAAAAGGAGTGATTTCGTTAAAACAAATGCTGATTCAAAAGTAGTATGTACAGACCAATGAGGATTTTATTTTTTTCCTCTTGTTAAATTTTTGAGATGCGGTTGTTGAAGTCTGCTACAGTGCTGGTAGCCTTCCAGCAATGATGCTAGTGTTGGAAACATTTCTGACATGTTTTAATCATTCATATGTTAGACAAAAACAGAGATAAATCTATGATGTCAAGCTGTTTTGTTCTGTTTGTTTTTAATGATGCACAGCAAAATCGCAATTTTCGTGCTTTTACTCATAAAATGTTGCTTCATAGTTCATTATCAAATATTTCAAGCCAAATTTAAGAGCAGAAAGCCTAAAAACTACATACATGTCCATAAAAATTACTTTGTCTTGCTCATAACTTCTCATTGGTTTATTAAAACTTATGGACACGTGCATCATCACTACAGGTATGGGGTACTTGTTATGTGTCTGACCACAAGAGGGCGCAATGCTCAACTGAAACCTTATTGTTGGATTTGTCTGGTGTATTTATTTTAGATTAGCAACAAACCTACGTTTGGATATAAAATTTCTTTAACTTATTCTTTGTTTTTCTCACTTTCTAAACATCAAAATAACTCAAGACCCACAAATGTTTTCACGTCCACTCCGCCTCTACATTTATTTCAAATCATAAATCCTTCTGTGATTATGTATCATAAAAACATAACCGTGTAGAGTTAAGCACAGCAAATAATGTACATTCATTTATATAAATTAGTCAATCTTTTTATGTTTATATACAGTATATATATATGAAGATGAATATACAGTACATGTGAAAATAAAACAATGTTTACATTAAAACAATGCCATTATTTAACAGTGTAATATACACCAGAGAGCAGCCTTCCAGCCTGAAAGCTGGAAACCGTGGCTTTGTGAAAAATCACTCCAAATTCCAGTTCACACGCGGCTCAGATCCTCCATCGTTCTGGAGCCGATGCTTTGTTTCCTGCGAGAGACACCAGCATCAGTGATGTGCTACATTCAGAGCATGAGTAGAAAAGAAAGACAGCTCAAACAGGAAGTTTTTTTTTCTCTCTGTACAGCTTTCCATCACGAGAAAACAAAAATGTCATAGAAAATGTTTTAACCTTCTGTGATTATTAGTATTCAAGGTCAAATGAACTTGGGTCCATCTCTGACTAACTGCTTATATTGAAAAAAGACCGATTGCTAGGCTGATTGTAATTGATTTATGTAGCTCTGACCTGCCAAATTTGATCTGGGAAGATTTGAGTTTCATTTTATGGAGCATACCAGTGTTAAAAAGTTATTTAAATGTCTGGTACTGCATGTATTCATGAAATATTTAGAGAAACTTACAAAAAAATCATCCTTCAAATTGTTACAGAAGTGTTTGTACAGTCTAATTGGAAAGAAAATGCTGAATAGATTCATTAAAATACTGTAGATTATTTTTACACCCTTTAAAACAAAAAAAATCACTAGATGACAGGACAAACACTACAAAAACTAAACAAACCTTTGGAGTTTCCAACATATGTGAGCAGCAGACAGAAACAGCAGAAAATCCACATTTTCTCATCTCTTGTGCTCTGAATTTTTTTCTTAACTCTTTATAGACGCTGTGTTTCCAATAGCATCACTCAATAAAACAATCCATACCAAAGATGTGCTTATTACTGGCACAAATTATCCCCTTAACTATTCACAAACCAGGAAACTGAAAACAATCATGTGATTCTGGTCACCAGCCCAGCAATCGATATATTTTGGAGCATTACAAGGTCACACAGTTGATGGTGTATAATTGTATGACTTGTGAGACAGGCACAGATTTATAGACTACAAAATAAATTAACAGTACTGATGCCTTCTGTACAAAACTATCAAAATGTTTGGAACCACCAATTGTCATAACCAAAGTGTCTTGGTCAAACAGGCAACTAGCAAAGCAAATGTACAATTCAGAGTTCTTTTGTGGTAAGGTAAGTGGAGATTTTTGCAGAAAGACAAGCGGCTCTTTAAAAAAAGTCACCGATTTCCAAATTTACCCACAAATACAGGAAAAAAAAAATGCTCAGTTTAAATGAGCCAAACAATATGCATGAAGGCAGCCCAGCAGTCCGTTGGTGGAACTCTTACAGTCAAACATGGTTTAAATCTCATCATTCTGTGAAGATGCTTTTTTGTGAGCCTTAGAAACTAATCGAGATAGATGTCCTGATGCATCTCAGAAATCTAGGTAGAAAAAAATCAAAAAGAAAACATAAGTTGGTCCTCTGGATGGGTTCTTTAGTGAAACGTTTCGTCTCTCGTCCAAGAGACTTCTTCAGTCTGATGAGTTTCAGGTGAACTCATCAGGCTTAAAAGCACTGCCTCCACATGGACAAACAGCTAATCAAGCCTATTGTTAGGCAATGGCCCTCTTTTGCATGTGACTAACCTGTTTGTCCATGTGGAGGCAGKGCTTATAWGGCTGAGTTCAMCTGAAACTCATCAGACTGAAGAAGTCTCTTGGACGAGAGATGAAACGTTTCACTAAAGAAGAACCCATCCAGAGGACCTACTTATTGTTTCTTTTTGATTTTTAATCAAGATAGAGTAGAAGTTTGCATGCCTAAAAGTTTCTGTGGAATGATTTTTGGTTTTTCCACAGTCTGGGATCAAAATGTGCCTTCCTACAAGACAATGACACAAAGGTTGACAAGTGGCTGAGAAAAAGCTCTATTCATGAAAATCTTGGTTCAGTTTCCAGATTTAAACTAAGTAAAGCGTCTTTGGAAAGACCTGAAAATGGCTACAGATGCTGTTTATCCAAAGTGGTTGAGCTTGCAGGTTTCTGGTAAAAATAAAAATAGAAAAAAAGAAAGAAAACACCCAAAAGGAAGATGTCTCTGAATAGACCATTTCATAGTTGTACTAGCTGTTCCAGGTCAACCGAGCTAACGCTGAGGCTGCTATGAAAATACCATTGGAATTGTGCAAATTCAAAACAAGCTCATCTATGACCGTAAAGGAAAGCTTATGAATCAATTTAGAGCAAATACTGTATGTTGGGTCTGTATAACGGCGTTAATTTACCAGATGAATTTTTTCAATTCCATTGGCGTTTCTGAAGCAACCTCAGCATTTATCCCAAAAAAAGAGTGAGCTTGGCCGCTTTGCAAATTTGCATTTGTAACAATTTTTAACTACAAAATGGTCTATTCCCAAATCATTTTCTAGCACGGCTGAGGTTGAGCTAATTGAGGTACTTTAAGAATGATTAAAATTTTGTTTCTAAACAATAGGTCAGATCATTGGAAGTGAGGCTCCTATGGAAAGTACAACAAATTAATATTTAAATTTTACTTACGTGACTTAAGCTTAGAGAAACAGTTTCTGCATAAATAATCATGTAACGCAAAATTATGTAAAGATTTGTAAGTTTAATCTAACCACTATGAATTTTTTTTACATTAAAGTGTTTTTAAAAATCCACCTTTGTCTTGGTCCCACTTGGACTTGTGATTCTGGTTGGAATCAAAATTAATTTCCCAAAACTCAAAGACATTCAAACTTTACGACTTTTCCACAGAAGCCCACTTTAAAAGAACTTAACTATAGTTTAGAAACATAATACAGAAAGCTGTTTTTGCTTCATCACTTCAGAGCAGTTTTCTCTTCGGTCTGAACAATGTCMAAATGTAAAAAATGTCCAACCACACACAAGTACAGGAGCTCAGGTGCTGTACTGAACAACACCTCTGAGATATTTCACTTTAGCTTCAGTTGACTACGACTTCATAGTACTACCATACCACAGAGGCATACAATGTACTTCAGAGATACAGAGTTGTTGTTTTCTTTACATTGGTTTGTGACAGTTCAGAAATGTGAGGCAGAGTTGAGGACCTAGACTTTTCCTCTCAGATGTCCGTTAATGATTTCTACACACCGTAGCTCATCCAGGTGGACTTTATTCCTGAGCCGCACGTCTTCGTTGATGGGATACAGCAGGAGGATCATTAAGCCCGTAACGATGAAGGCTACGGGTGCAGCGCCCATCAGCAGCTTCAGGGTGTATACTACAGGAGCGGGCTGCTTACAGGCGCCGGTGTCATACCCTGCAAACCTACGAGCACACAGAGACGCAGGGATTCTCTTTAAAAAAAACAAGTCATGGCATCAAAACAGGTGCTGCAAAATAACACAACTGTTACCGTCTAACAAGACATTGAAGCTATGATGAAAAACTTAGTGCGTAATTACATCTATTAAATAAAGTACTTATCCTATTAATTTTTTAGKAGTGCACAATWTATCGGCACCAATKTCCTCAATTTTGGGAGATCAGATGATACTTTGATAGGATCTGTGGAAAAGATCAGCTTCTCATCTACCTTCCCAAAGTTCTGAAAATCAGCCACTGTCCCAGTTTGCTCTACTGTGAGCACTAACTAATGTCCAGTTAAAACAAGTTTGTATTGTTTCAAGGGTATTGTTCAGTGTTTTTCAGTAAAATAAGATAGGAACATTGGAGGTGTATTGTGACCTTATAACTACAACGGAGTATTAGGGCCACAGAATGAGATTATTTATTTATTTTTTTTAATTACGAGAATAAAGTCACAATATTACGACATTAAAGTTGTATAAAAATATAGTCATAATATTATGAGAATAAAGTCTTAATATTATGAGACTAAAATCGTAATATTATGAGATTAAAGTCATAATATATGTATTATGAGATTAAAGTCATAAGAAGAAGGGTTCAAGATGGGTTCCAGATGCCCAAGACATTGCCATGTTCAATTTTATATGTTCAAAACTCCAACTGGGGTAGTGGCCCAATCATCTGATGCAGGTCAAAATGAGTTTTCTCCGCTTGGTGTCTGGACTATCCCTTAGAGATACGGTGAGAAGTTCAGTTATTCAGGAGAGACTCCGGGTAGAGTGGCTGCTCCTCCACATCCAGAGGAGCCAGTTGAGGTGGTTCATCTGGTAAGGATGCCTCCTGGATGCCTCGCTAGGGAGGTGCTTCAGACGTCCAATTGGGAGGAGACCCTGAGGAAGACCCAGGACACGTTGGAGAGACACTGGGCCTCATGCAAGAACATGTTCGTATTCTTATCCTAAATTTCTCTTACTTTTGTTCGTACAAAGGGTTCATA